TGGGCACTGGCAGTGTCAGGAAGCTGCGGGTCAGGAGTGAAGGGCACCATCATGGCCCAGGGGGGCAGGGTACTGTGGTTTGAGGGTGAGGGGCATTGGCAGGGCTGGAGTCAGTGGTTTGGGAGTGAGGAGCAGCAGCAGAGCTGGGGGGAGGGGTTGTGGCTTGGCAGTGAGGAGCAACAGAATGGGGAGGGGCCAGGCACCAGCATATCACTCCCCCCCCCCACCCCCCTCCTGCCATATTCCTCCCTGTCGTTCCCCCCGTGACAAGTGTCCTCTTTTTTGGACCCAGAAATATCATAACCCTATGAACCTGCAAACCTTGGACTCTGACAGACCACAGACACAGGAGAACAGGGTCCCCTCCTGGGCAGGGAGAAGCAACTTGTCAGTGGGAGCAGTATCAAGGGGGCAAAAATAGGCAGAAGAGGCAGAGCTGAATGCTGGAGGATTTGGGGGACTGGATGTGGCCCCCAAAGTCTACAGGGAGACCATGTGGGGACTGAGATGAACAAAGGCTGGATACATGGGTGCTCAAGGACTGGGAGTGAGGGAGCTGTAGGGTGAACAAGCTGAGTGTGAGGGATCTGGGGAAGGGTTGTGGGAACCATGGGGTGAATGGGAGCTGAGTGTGAGGGTGCTGTGGGGTGCACAGAGGCTGAGTGTTGGAGGACTCAGGGTCTGAGCATGGCTGTGGGGTATAATACCAAGGGAAAAATATGCGATGGGTAAGAGAGTCTCTTTGCCCATCAGCACCGTACCTAAACTCCTGGTGGCCCCAGGCCAATTTCTACTATCGGACCCCCTTTTGCCAGAGATAATGATAATAATTATTTTCACCATTTTTGGGCCCCCTTTCTGTCTGGGGCCTGGGTGGCTGCCCTGTTTATACATGCTTGTGTCTGGCTTTTTTGCCCAGGTACACCTGGAAACCTGGCCCAGGGGAACGTATTACCCTAGGTAAGTGCTCTTCCCCACCAATCTACTCCCCTCCCATTGAACTGGACAGGTCTCCCCCTGTTCCACCCACCAGCGACCTCCTGTGTTGAACTGTAGGTATGTGATGTTGGTCATCCCAAATCTGGAGCAGAGGGAAGGCTGCTTATAAACACCCTGCAGTTGTCTAAAAGACTCCACATCTGGGGGTGCTATGTATAAACACCTCTCACATTTCTTTGGGACCCCGGGTGTGGGGGTGCCTGTGGGAGGGGATGGCAGAAATTTCTAGATAGTTATGTCCCTTTCACAGGGAATCCAACAGCACCATCTCGTGGCACATGGCAGCACTTGCAGGACTGAGCCCCACACCCAAAAATGCAGTAGGAAGAATATTGTGTGTGCCGGGGCGAATGTCTTTTTAAAAGCATTTTAAGGAGCCAGCTGTTCCCTGTGAGCTGGTGGCTAGAGTATGAATGAGGGTCTCAGATGTATTTAGCCCCCTGTCTGTTTATAAAGGGGGGGGCACCATCTAATCCCTGTGCTCCACCCCAGAGTCAGCTACATCTTGGTGCTGGGTAAGGGTCCTTTCATAAACAGCACCCTTATGCTCCACTTCAGAGATAGTTGCATCTATGAGCTAGGCAACGAATCCATGTATTAACACCCCATGGGTGGTGTTATCACCCACCCGGCATGATGCCTACCTGCATGCCTGGGTGCTGACCCTACCCCAGCCCTGGCTCCAGCTGGTTCTGGAATGAGAACCCTGTTTGAATAACAGCTGGTGCTGAGCAGTTGCGGGTGGCTGGTCGGTGATAGAGGGGCAGATTGGAAGGGAGATGTGGGGCAGAGGGGTTTCAGAGAAGCACGAAGGCTTAGGGGTGCTCAGGGAGGAGGGGAGCTGTAGGGTACCTGGGGGTGGTAGACCTGTGGAGCAGAATTTCCTATGAGTCTCAGAGCAGGGCGGGGGGAGACTCTGGAAGTGGAAATGGGGCAATTGGGAGGAGAGGGAGAGGTGAGGACAGAGAAGAGGGGAGAGGAGCTGTAAAGGAGAAGGATCAGCTCCTGTGGGAGACACCTATGGGGACAAGGAGGGCTGTGGGGCAGAGAGCATGATGTGTTGGGTAGGGATGAGATGGAGGGAGGGCTGGATCTGGGAAGGGAGGAATGGAGGGTGGATGAAACAGTGTGGGGGGGAGTAATGGATAGTACCCGGGTGGAGAGCTGGGTGGGGGAGCGCGTGGGGATGGGCAGGCAGGTAGACCACGGAGGGGTGAAACGGGGAGGATGAGGACGAAGGACGGAGGAGGTGTGGGGGTGGAGACGGATGCAGGGCTGTGCGGCGGGGAGCTGTCGGCGGGGAGCGCAGTGCCAGCCGCACCCTCCGGGCGGGGCCAGGGCTGCATCCACCGGGCGGGCTGGCTGCCGGGACCCTGAGCGCATGTCTCTACAGATCGGCGCGGAGCGGAGATGGCGGCGCGCGGGCTGCCGGGCGCCCTGGGCGCGTTGCTCCTGTTGCTGCTGCTGGCCTGGGAGGGAGCCGGCGCCCCGGCCCTCCTCCCTCCTGCTGCCCTGCAGCGGCTCTTGGGCGACCTCAGCAGCATGATGCAGCGCAGCCGGGTAAGACCGGGCCGGGGAGGGCGATGTGTGGGGCACGCAGATGCCAGGCTGTCCTCCCGCAGGCGAGGCTGCTTGTCTCCCGCATCATTGCACTGCATCCCTACCTCCATCCCACTGTATCCTGTCTGCCTGCACTCCTCTCTGTCCATTCCCATACACAGCCCTCTCTGCCCATCCATCCATCCCACTATGTCTATTCCATTTTTCCTGTTGTGAGCCCGAGCTGCGCACATCCAGCATGCTTCCATATTAGCTGGGGAACTGGACCTGTGTGTTTGTGTGTGCATGCTAACATGTTCCACTGTGTGTGCCACTGTGTACCTGCCTGTTTTCTGATTTCTTTTCCCAGCTCAGGAACTGGGGGCTCATGGCTTAGCGTGAGGTTTGGAGGAGCAAGACAGGAGGGGGTACTGGGGGTGGGAGACAGGACTCCTGGCTTCTGTCCCAGGTCGGGTGGGGGAGTGGGGTCTGATGGGTTGTGTGGGGACGGGCTGGTGGCATGTAGAAAGAGCAGTGACTCGCAGAAAGAGTTTGGGCCACACGCATGCTGTTGCAGGAGGAGATGGGGCAGATGGAGGAGGGCTTTGAGACCCATGTGGATTTCAGCAAGCTGCCCCCAAACTACCATGACGAAGAGAAAGAGGAGCGCAGGGTGGGCAATGCCACGGTGTACAGCCATCGGGAGATCAACAAGGTGAGCTCTGAGTCGGGACAAGGGGATGATGCATGGGCTCCCCTACCCATGGATTGGGGCCCTGCACTGGGGGCTGACTTTGCTCCTCAAAGCTTGTAGAGGTCAAATCAGGCGTGTGGCTTGGGCACCCTGCACTGGGGTAACTGTCCCCCAGGACCCATGGGGAGCAGATCAGTGACATGATTGGGGCTATCTTCTCCTCAAGGCCCACAGGGGGCAATCTGGGGATGTGGCTGGGGCTGTGCCTGGGGGTAGATCAGGAGTGTGCCAGGGTGCCTTGTGCTGTGGCTGTTCCCTGTTTACATGTAGGAGCCTTCCCTGGACCTGATCCTTGTGCTTAAGAAACTCCTCTGTCCCTTGCAGGTAACAGACAACCAGACAGGAGAGACAGTCTTTTCAGAGAAGACGGTGACTTCCATTGAGCAGGGAGACCGGCACCTGCTGGAGAACTGGAAGGTCAGTGCAGAGGGACCAGGAGTCATGCCTAACCAGGTGTGGGAGAGGAGTGAGGTCTAGTGAGTTAGAGCAGGGGCCTGGGAGCCAGAACACCTGGGTTGTATCTCAGCTCTGAGAGGAAAGTAGGGTCTGGCTGTGGGGGGAGCAGGGGAAGAGAAGGAAGGGACTGGGAGCCTGGGTGACTGGGTTCTAGCCCAGCTGTGTGTTGTATCTCTGCTCTTAGGATGGGAAGGGGGAGGAATCCCTCTCTTTGTCCCCCCACTTCCCCGTGCCTCAGTTTCCCCTTCTGTACACGGAGCTTCTGATAACAACAATTAGCTTGATTCCTTCAGCTCCTGCATCAATATTCAGGATCGTAGCAAATACTCTCAGTGACAACCTCTTTCAGCCTCCCAGCCCAAAACTCTGTTCCAAAGGCCTGGTTGGCTGGATGCCTGGATCCCAGGGAAGGCTAGGCAGGCTGGCTTGTTTCTCTGGCAAATGGAAAGAGGCTTCATCCCCTGTCTGCTTGTAAGATGACCCCCCTCTGTTTACCCAGAGATAAGGCTGCCTGGAAGCTCTGTCCCTACCAGACCAAGCCTGGCAACAGCAGGAGAAGCCTAGTTAGAAGTATTACCGAGTCTGGCAGCACCAGGAAACAAGGGCAGAAATGGAGCATTAGTCAATACTGTTGCTGTGCAGGGAGGGAGAGAGATGGTTCCGTGGTGGGGATGGATAGAGGGGTATGGACAGCAACTGAAGCTGGAGCTGGGATAGAACCCAGCTGTCCTGGCTCTCAGCCCTGCCCAGCACCAGACCCCTCTCCTCTCAGAGATGGGACAGAAGCCAGGAATTTTGCCTCCTTCCCCCTGCCGCTCTAGTCCTTCTTGGCCCAATGCATGGGTTATCCAGTCCCCATTTCTCTGTGTTTCTTCCAGGACAGACAGACAAAGCATAGTGAGGAGAGAGCAGGCAGAGAGGCAGACATACAGCCTGCTGCGGCAAGACACTTGCCACTGATTGTCCACCCCAGACTGACTTTCCTGATCATCCGCTTACCACACAAAGTCAGGCTCACCAAGAAGGCCATCAAGAAGTCAGGCAACTCAGCCCTTAGCAACAGGAGGCACAGACTCTTAGCTATCCGGGATGGGCTGAAGGAAGCCCCCCATCCTGAGAAAAAAGCCCCCTCTGTGATTGTGACTCAACAGAGTCACGAAGTCATGCACCGCAGGCTGCATTTTTGGTTTCTTTTCAGGAAACTCCAGTGAAAAGTTGGGGGAAGTATCACATAGGCAATAAAGGAGTACGAAACTCTTCCATGAAGTTAGATCCCTGTGTGTTTAAAACCTCAGAGTTGCAGGTTCTTTCTTGTACAATAAAAGTTATTCCAGGGTAGCAGATAAAACATGATGAATTAGGGCTATTAGGTGAAAATGTGAAGCTTAAAGCAATGGTAGCAGTTGATTTGAAGGTAGGGAGGTGCTGGATGGGTGAGAGCATCAGTTGCAGCCTTGGTCCCTGCTGCGACAGGTGCTGTCCAAACATAGGACAAAAAGGCTGTCCCTGCTCTAAGGAGTTTACAAGGGTCAATCTACTCAGATTCCTGTGGTAGAGTTTCACAGAGTAATGGTTTAGGATCCTAAGGTGGGGTAGGGAGCAGGAGGAGGGGTCTCTGTTCTGTTGTTTGCAGGTCTGCAGCCTATATCGCATGCCCTCCTCTTTGTTTCCTCTCTGCAATGTGTAGTCCTGTCTGTTCTCACTCTCTTTACCCAAGAGATTTCCCAGGCCCTCTCTTTCCCCACCCACCACGACCCCCTTAGAAATGGGGTGATCAGACGCAAACTCCGACTAGATCCCTAGCTGTAGCTAGTCATCTTAAAACTGCATGAAACAGCTGCTTTGCCCCACCCCAGAGGTGGCTGCATCTCAGCTCTGGGTGATGGGTCCCTGTACAAACACCCCCTTGAACCCTGCTCCAGGGGCAGATGTATTTCAGCACTGAGCCAGGGATCCTGCATAACTGCCCTGCAGATTTTACAAGACTATTACCACAAATGCACCAAATGTTGGTTCTGTCCTGGGTCTCAGATTATTTTAACAAAACACTGGGTTCCTCTGGTGTTTGGCATCTTAGCACAAGGCAAGGCCCATGGATGTGACAAGTTGATTCAGTTGCTTGGCAAGCATGATGCCACCATTATAATATTTCCAGTAACAGACATCAGGCAGCTGCTGGGTTGAATGGGTTGGTGGTTGGTCAGCCGATCCTATGTGAATGTACAACTCTGGTGCCTGGTCATCTGATAACCGCACCCTCTTCAGATCTGCTCAACAGTGCAGAAGATTCCCTGTCATCCTGGCTGCCAAACAGAATATTGCTATTATGGTGTGTGTGATAGTAGAGGTCAGAAGCCCTAACCCAAAAATCAAAGCTGCTCCAGAGTGTCAGGTGCAACTGAGATTGGGGCCCCCATTATGCAAGGCAGAACACGGACCTCCTTGAAAGAAATTGGAACCTCCATTGTGCTGGGTGCAGAGACCCTGGCCTTGGTCCCCTGGTGCTGTACAGACCCTGACTGAGAATGGGGACGACTTTGTTCCAGACACTGCAGAGATGCTAATTGAGATCAGGGCCCCTGTTGTTCCAAGCGCTGTACAGACCCCAACCAAGATTGGGGCTCCCCATCATATTGGGCCCTGCACACATCTCAAGCAAGACTGGGGTCTTCATTGTGCTGGGCACTGCACAGAGTCCAACCAAGACTTGGGATTTCACCATACCAGGTGCTGTGAGCACCTGACTGAAATCATGGCTTCCATTGTAAGGGCACTATAGACACACAGTGAGATATCCTTGGCCCAAAGAGCTCCCAGGCTAACTAGACAAGGCAGACATATTATCCTGGTTGGGCAGACTCAAAGATTTTAAGGCCAGAACAGATCAGTGGGTTCTTCTGGTCTTACCTCCCACATATCACAGACAGCTTTACCTATTGACCCTGCAGGACATGGGGTCTTGATTAAAAGGTTGGCGGGTGCAACCCAGGCACTTTGCAGGAACTGAGAATGGAAATGACTCATCCAAGGCTATGCCAGAGTTTGCGGTGGAGTACCTGGGGAAGAACTCTGACCTCCTGAGTCTTTGGAGTGGGACTCCTGCTGATACCTGTGGGGTGCACTCTGTTCAGAGGCTCATCGCAATGGAGGCAAATATGCATTTCAGAACAGGTGGACAGACTGATATTTTTAAGCAATTAAATAAATCTAGTCTAACCTCCATGGCAGAGGGCAGACAATTTCACTGTTATCCCTGGACCAAGCCTAATAAACTTGCATCAGACTGGTGGTTCTCCAACTTATTTGAGCTGCAGAGACATTCTTTTATGTTTGTTATACTGCAGTGTTACCCCAGTTATTCTACAGCCCATATATAAAATAACAGCGTCACATTACAACAGCTCTGTTAATTCTCCAATGCCTAAGAGATGTTGCAGAGCTGTTCTTTATTTTTCCTCCTATTCTTTTCCTCCATTCACATTCCTCTTATCCCTTCTGCCTAAAGATTCCTTCCTCATGTCCTCATGTAGAAACACACTACATATCCCCAGGGGTTCAATTTGAAAAATACTGTATTGAACTAAAGCATATCTTCCAGAAAAGGCATTGGGTCTAGATGCAATGCCATTAAGAAGTGGAAGACTCACTGCTTTCCTCAAGGGTCTGCTAATAAATCACCCTCACTTTGAATTTGTTTTTGCCTAGTCTTAGTTTAACTTGTCTGGTTTTACTACTAGTCACTAAGTCTTGTTATGAAACGGATGAAAGAACCTTTAGGGCCTGGTGTTTTTTCCCTGTGATGGTACTGATGGACCATTAAATAGTCACCTTATCATTTTTTTGATAAGCTGAATAGATTTTGCTCCTGGAGTTTCTGGCTTTAAGGCATTTTCTTTTAGTTCTCAAATCTATTTTGTAGCTCATCACAGTGCACACGCTGATTTTTTCTGATGTCTTTTAAAAAAGGAGTCCTCTTCACTTGCCAAAGGGAGGCAGTATTGCAGTGTCAGTCTCTCCAGTCCTGTATAACAACAAAAAATCCCACCCTTCCTTCCCTGTTGCTCCCAGGATTGTGTTTGCTCTTTGTGATAGGCAGCCAGTTTTCTAGCAGCAGTGAAGAATGGAGAGTGGGATCCTTAGAGCATGGGACAGTTTAGGTGGGATTTTGCCCTCCACCCTGGCTTTGAGGGTGATGCACATAGCAGAGTAGGTGGATAAGGAAAGGCATGGTCTCCTTTTCATAGCAGCTTTGAGGCTCTGTTCTCTCTAGGGGTGCATGGGTGATGATGATTGCCGAAAGGACCAATTCTGCTCCTCTTCCTTCGTTGTCAGCCAGTGCCAAGAGTGCAAAGCTAAGGACACTGTGAGTATGGGCAATGGCTCAAGGCATCTTCAATGGTAGAGATGGGCTGGTTCAGGGGATGAGGCACCAACCCATATCCAGCCCCATAGCACAGGAGGGGGCTGGCTCAGGAAGATTGGGCAGGGGCCTTTTCCATCCAGTGGGTACTAGCCCTGATCTGGCTGGCTGAGGGAGTGAGGTATGGGCTGAGGGGCCTTTCCTTTTTATAGGGTGCCAGCCCCAATCCAGCCCCAGGGTAGGGAACTAGCTGGGTCCTGGAGATGGAGGTGAGGAATGGGGTACTGCTCTCCTCACTTGGTTTCTGCCCTAGGTGTGCCAGCGGGATGGAGAGTGCTGCTTGGGATACCTTTGTGTCTGGGGGAAGTGCACAGCTGGTGTGAGTCGTGGTGAGGGCGGGACCAGATGTGACCCACTGCAAGACGAATGTGCCCCAGGCCTCTGCTGCATCAGCTATGCCTGTGAGATGGCTTTCTGACTTTCAACCCAGCCAGCTCCCACCAGGAGCTGGGAGATCCTAGGATACCCATCTCAGACAGCCTTTGTCAGTAGGCCAGGGTGGGCAAGAGCAGGCCAAAGCATAAAGGAATGCCAGAGGCCTCAGAGTATGCACAGCTCACCTAGAAGATGTTACGTCTTCCCAGTCCAGTGCCAATCTCTCTCCATCTGCCCACCTCACGCATGTTTTTCTCCTCGCTGCTCTTTGAGACACCATCCTTTTCCTGTGGCGTGAAAAAATAGCTTTTCTCATTCTCCCTGGCCTCAGGGGCATTGGTATGGAAAGACATCAAATCTATCTCAATTTCTGCTTTGTTGCAGGCTGGCACAGCTTATGTGACACACAGAAACTACCCTGGCATAGGGGAAGGTGTGAACTGAAAGCAATTAGCTGTTCCTTCATGGGATTGCCCTTTTCTAGTTTAGTTTCATCCACTTCCAAAGTGGATTAAACTCATTCAGAAAAAGGCACTTTTATTCCATCATAAGAGAGGCATTTAAATGTAGAGAAGAACACGGAAACCTTTGTGATTTGGCATTACAACAACATGGGTGTTAATGAACTCTGAGGGTCTTGGCAATGGCATGGGCCAGGGAAGGAGCTAGATGGATCCAATTTTGGCATAGATAGTGAGATTTATTTTTTTCTCTGTGTGACCTGGAGAATGTGAACTAGAGGGGTTAATTTCTACTTCCTGTTCTAAATCGCTGTCAGTGACTTCTTACAGCTGCCAGCTGAATTGCTCCATGTTACATAAGGGAACCTGCTCCAGGGGTTAGGGAGCTAACCCAGAATTTAGGAGACCTGGGTTATAAGTCTTTTCTCCACCACAGATTGCTTGTGTGATCTTGGGCAAGTCACTCACCTTGTCTGTGCCTCAATTTCCCCTCTGTTGGGAGAGGGGGAGATAGTAGAGGCCTTCCTCCTAGAGGTGCTGGGAAGAGAAATACATTCAAGATTGTGAAGTGTTCAGGTTCCACAGTGACAGGGGACATGTAAAAATGGCTAGCTCTTATATAGTGCTTTTCAAAATAGTTGTTTTCCCCATTTTTTAAAGTGGGAAGAAAGGGAACTTGCCCCAGCACAGAGCCAAACTTCAGTTGCCTGAAACCTGGCTTTCTAGATACTGTGCACAGATTCACATATAGCACTGAAGAAACAGCCCAACCAGGTAGTCTGTAGCATATCTGGGGTTTGAACCCAGGTATTCAGAGTCCCTGAATAACACCCCAGCTATACAACTCACCTTGCTTCTCCAAGGATCTCCTGAATTTTTCACTCTCTCCTCTTGCTTTCTCTGTTTTGCAGTTTTCCCATTTCCAATCTGTGCCCCCTACCTGACAGAGGGAGAAGTATGTCAGAGCCTGGATGGGACCCTCTTGAGTCTGATGGCCTGGGAAGGCCTGGGGAGGTCTGGCCAATACTGTCCTTGTGCCCAGGAATTGATGTGCAGGAGCAATGGGTAAGAAGGACTTGGTGGTCGTGTCAGTCAAATCATGAGGAACACCCAAGTCTTCCTGAGTAACAGCTCTAGCACATGAGAGACAAGCAAGTCCTGGTAATGTTGCAGCTCTGGTTGTCTGGGGTTATAGTATCCAGGGGCTGCCAGGCAGTTATTTTTCCCTAGCCCTATGGCAATTTGAGCAATCTATATCAGTGCTGGGTTCAGATTGCTACCCCACTATCTCCCATCCCAGTTATCTGACTGACCTGCCATTAACCATTGCTCAGGAGTACCCAGTGAGTGGCTGGAGTCTGCTGGGAGGCACTCCTGCCAAGTAGGGAAGGAGGGAGTATTCTAAGTGATCTGGGAAGTGGCAACTAGTCACTCTTGCCACCATATTTTTTTCCTTCTAGATTTGGGATGACCTCTACATGCCAGAGGCCTGAAGGCAATGAGGATTTTGGCCGCCTGGGCCAGCAGCTGTCTTTCTTCCAGCCGAGCATGGTACGCAGGGATGAGGAGGTTGCCTACTATGACACCAATGCTCTGCCATGGCAGCTGCAAGATGCCCAAATGGTGGTGGATACTGGCCATATAAAAAAGCCAAGAGAAGAACTGACAGATGACTATGAAGGAGAGAACCTACTACTGGACAAAGACACAAACAATCCTGACCAGTTGAATTTCCAGGAGCTCAAGCAACTGGCCAATCAAATGGGGCAGTATTTTGGGCCTGGATTTTACTGAGAACTCATGCTAACTGAGTTGCTTGACAGTCACACCCTTTAATTATTTATGTGTCTCACCCTTCCCTTCTTCTCTTTTCCTCAGACCCTTCCCCGATCACAATTTTCCACCCAGAACCATAGCTTTTCAAGCTGATTACCTCAACAATGCCAGATTTCCCACCGCTTCACAGCAAACTAACTTTGTCTCTTGAATTGAGGTGTTTTATAGAAATTAAATATACTGCATAGTCATGTTATTCCCTCAGTGGTTGCTTTTCAATTCACACAGTGACTGTGGCTTTATTCCTTTGGGGGTGGAGAAGGGCCAAATTCTCTTCAACACAATAATCCAGATAACATCCAGGAGCTTTATAAAGAATCTATAGGCCACTCTAGTGGACCTAATTCTTTCTAGGACTTACAATAATATTGTTTATATTAGTAGCCAGCTGTGACACAGGGGTGACAGGGCTTGGGAGTGTATAGGAGAGAAAATTGTGTATTTGTCAGAAACAAGGAATGGCGTATGCCTTGCAAAAGAGGTATCGGGATCTGCTAGTCCTGCTACCTTGTAGAAGATCTGTGGGCAACGCCTTCTTTCAGGAATACCAGTTCTGTCACATGTGAAATAGTAGTTGGATTCATTATGCTACCATCACCTGTTCATATCCATGAGCTATGCAGGGTTGTACTCATTTAGCGCTGAAATTAGCATCCTCCTAAAAAATGCTAAGGCGCTGCAGAAAGTGGCGTAGGTGGTGCCTTTTCTTCTTAGTCATGACAAATCCAGTGCTCCAAAGAGGCACTAAATCAGTGGTGCTCAACCTCTGGTCTGCTAGTCAAATCTAGCCTGCAGAGCTGGCATTTGGCTCTGGGGTCTCCCATGGGTCCAGAAATTTGGCAGCAGGGGAGTGGTGGCAGCTTTAATTGTCATAGCTCAGGAAGCCAGCAGGAGGGGCCAGGCCCTGGCCAGAACTGATGCATGGGGCTGGGCTGGTGTGCTGAATCACACCCGTAGACTGACCCCTTGCTGGATCTAGACCACAGACAGACCCAGATGATGGGATCTGACCCACAGAGCTGTGCCACTCATCCAGACCACAACGCTGGAAGGTTGAGCACTAGGGCTGCGCGAGGCTTCGGACTGTGCTTCTGATCCAGAGAAGTTTTGGACGCTTTGGTGTCTGAAGCAGCATGTCCGGATCAAAGTGCTGGCTTTGTTAGGCTTTCTGAAGCAGTTTGGAGCTTCCGAAGCGCTTCAGAGCCACTTTGGAGATCTGGCCATAGCATATAATGGGGAATCAATGAAATAGCTATAACGTTGTTGTTTTTTGTCTGATTTGGATGAAATGTGCAGGGGTGGGAGCCTCTGCTGAGAGCATGAAGCCTGCCAAGTTTCAAGAAGAGCGG